AAAATTTGAGCTAGGGGGCTGGAATTTGGCACAGGGGTGTTCGAGCATGCTGATCACCCCCCTTGGGGATGATCAGCATGCTCGATTACCCCCCTGTGCGAACTCCCAGCCCCGTAGCTCAAACTTTGCAAAAAAATCGATAAAATCGATAAAAGTAATCGATAATCCTGAAAACCAATATTGTATTCGGAATCCCCATGCTCGATTACCCCCCTGTGCCAACTCCCAGCCCCGTAGGTGAACTCAGCAAAAAAATCGATAAAAATCGATAAAATCGATATCGATCGATGACGAAAAGTAGCCTATGACACCCGCCGCGGCCCGTAGTGTATGTGTGCCAAGTTTGGTCCGGATCGGTTCAGAAATGGAATTTTCTATTCGGAACATACGTACACACAGACATACATACAGACAGACAGACAGACAGACAGACATACAGACAAACAGACATTCAGCTTTATATATAAGATAACCTCTTGTAATGAAGTCTTTCGAGAAGCTTTAGGTGCCGTTTTGTAGAGCTGGCTTCAACTTAGATTTAAAGTAAAGCAAATCATTGATCACCTTTCACTACTGTACTTTTACGGTAGAAACTTCAAGTAAACGGTGTCGTTGTGAAAAAAGCTGCCGTTTCAAAAATTCTCAAAAAAGGAAAGCTTGTGTAATAAAGTGCAAAGCATTCTAAAAGGTGTAACCGCACTTTTCAGGAACCTTGAAAAAACGGCCGCTATTGCGTACCTCGCATAACTTTCTAATGAAGCATCACGATAACTTGCGAACTCCACACTTAGAACCAGCAACTCTAAATGGCCCGGAGTAAAAGTTTTCAGGCTGTTTCGTTCCCTTTCTAAGGCAAATTATGGCCTTTCATGGTTCAAAACCCTCATTGAAGTTTCTACCGTAATCCTACTGTAATGAAGAGAGATCGGTGATTCGCTCTATACTGTAAATTTGAATGGAAGCTAGCTTTACAAGGTACCTAAAGCTTCTCGAGAGACTTCATTACAAGAGATTTATCAACAACCTATCAGTAGGCAATTTTTTGGGACACCCTTGTAAGATGTTTTCGGATGAATGTTTTTTTTTCACAAGGTACTTCTTTCCTGAAAATTTTAAAGTTGCTGCATTGGAGAACAGAACCTTTTGATTCGTTTTGATTCATTGAGGGAAATTTCCGGAATTACCCTCAATTTTTTGCGTTTAAGAATTTGGCCTGTAATCAATGGAGTTTTTTAGAATCGACGCGTACCAAGCCCGATTTCCCGGCCTCTATGCAATCTATACCGAAACTCCTGAACGAAGGCGGATAAATGGTAAATTTTTTCCCTTTTATCATTATTGCGCACTCTTGTTCTTGTCTTCACATGAGATGTAACTTTCAGCCATGTTCGTCATCGTTTTGGTGACCTTATTTCTGGCATTTGTACATTTTTTCATGTCATTTTCCTTGCTATATGGTGCAGTAAAAGTAAGTTACTGCCTTATACTTCATACAGTTTGTTCCAAAAAATGTGCCTACTGTTTGATTGTTGATTATTCTCTTGTAATAGAATCTTTCAAGAATTTGAGCGCCGTTTTGTAGAGCTAGCTTCACTTAGATTTACAGTACAGAAACATAACCGATCGATCTTCATTACTGTAAGACTACGGTAGAAACTTCAACTATATGGTGTCCTTGTGGAAAAAGCTGCCATTTCAAAAATTTTCAAAAAAAAAGATGTGAGAACTCGTGTAATAAGGTTTTCGCGGACGCTATGATCAATACTCAACTATCAAGATTAAAAAGATTTATGAACGCTGTATTCGCACTTTTTAGAAACATTGATAAAACGGCCGCTACTGCTTAACTCGCACAACTTTCTAATGAAGCACCATGATAAGTTGCAAACTCCACACTTAGAACCAGCAACTCTAATTGGCTCAGAGTAAAAGTTTTCAGGCTGTTTTGTTTCCTTTCTGATGCAAAATATGGCCTTTCATGGCTCAAAACCTCTTTGAAGTTTCTACCGTAATCCTACAGTAACGAAGACAGATGGGTGATTCGTTCTATACTGCAACTCTAAGTTGAAGCTAGCTCCACAAAACAGTACCTAAAGCTTCTCGAGAGACTCCATTACAAGAGAGTTATTAACAATCAAACAGGCACCATTTTTGGGACACCCTGTATTTTATATTCACAACGCTTTGAATTTCATTTCTATTTATTTATATCGAGTTTCATTTACTCCTTTCGCTTTTATTTGTTTATAGTAAAAGTACGAATTTTTGATTTATCTCGTCAATTAACCCACTTTTTCAGTACAACAAAAACTTTATTTGGCCGTGGATATTCTCGGCTGGTCCCATCATTATAATGTCGACAGCATATGCTGTGATGTGGTGGAGCGGGGTGCGTTCTCAGCTGGTTATTTTCCCTTCTAACAAATCTTGTAGGCCATTCAGGATGTCTTCAACGAGCAGTTGACAATGTCTGTCGCAGAATTTGTGATGTCATTGGCTGTCAATGTATGTGTTAAGATTTGTTTTGTTTTTTTCATTCGTAAGCTTAAGGAAAAGAATTAAAGACTCATAATGAAGGAAAGTGGATCAAAACATCTGCATTTTGTTGAGACATCCTTCTCAATTGTGGAGTAAGCCCACAATTATTGAGTACTCCCAATCAATCTATAATTTTCTCGTAATCAATGATTAAATATTCAATGCATCCAAAATAATTCGAATTTTCACTGATTGAGTGACTGAATGGATTAGTAGGTCTATGTATCTTAAATACTGATCTTTAGAAGCTTCTTTACATTGTGTCGGTACAGAATTGGCAGGACATGGTCTTTCTGTGATAGGGCTTCTCAAAATCTAAAACATGTGCATTTCTATTAAGAACAAATAAGCTGGTTTCACGCTTTGATTATGGTTTTAAAACACGATTGTGAAATCTTGTGACTGAATCAAAATCAAATCGTTGAGAAAAGACCCATGTACATGGAGCAATTTTATCCATTCCAGGGCATATGTCTAATCATCGTCATTTTCTTCTATTCAAGACTGTCAGGACAACTGACATCGGACAAACCAGCACGATCACGAAGTAGCCCAGGAAGAGTGGTTTGTTAATAGAATATGCAAATATTGTCTCGTATTCTAATGAATACAAAATCAGAAAATTTTGAAAAAAGCAAGTACCATCCATGCTAGGATACTTTTTTTCTGAAATTATCGAGTATGTTAGTGGAAAGGAAGAAAATGATGTTTTCAAGAGAAAATCCATATAGACAATAATTTTATTGAGAAAGTTACCCAGCTACTGAGTCGTGTCACTTTTCTCAATAGGAATTTTCTGTGTGGTAGATGTTTGTAATCATAGATCTTTAAGAAGGTTTTAGGTAGAAAATAGTTGATATCGTTTTCCACTAATTTCTGATTTCGATAAACACGTGTTTTTGAGAGGAATTTAGATGAAATCAATAGATGTTTTTAGCCAAGACAACCTATAGGACTACGTCCAGTAGCCGTAGAGGACCGCCACCATCGTGGGCCACATTTCAAGCCACCTCCGCCCAATTTGCCTGAGTGGCGAGAGGAGTGGCCTTCTGTACCGGATGCGCAACTTCGGCGGAAGTTGCGCCAGAGAGATAGGAGAAGCCGTAGCCAACCTAGGGTTACTTCAATTCGTAGACCAGGCGACGAGAGCACGTAAATGCAGAAAAATATTTGAAACGGGTCTTCGACATTGAGATTTTCTTTCAGCCTCGATTTCTTTGCTCCCGAGCCCTATGACGAAGAATTTCCGTGGAAAGCGAGAAAACTGGAAAGAGAAAGGGAAAAGGAAAGAGCCAGGCCACATACAGCTGCAGAGGCCATAGAAAAGTTTGCTTTTTTTTATTCATTCAGAAATTCTTGTTCTATAGGAGCCCTTGACAATGCCCCTTCCACTCCCATTTCTTTCTCCCCTCCCGTTGTCCTGAAGATTCTTGTGCCTCTAAACCACTATTTTCAGGATCTACTACAACAAATATCCCGATGAGTTGCCCAGCATACCTCATGGAATGCGAAGCTCTTTACGAAAAGACCGAAAACGAGTAAAAAGTCCGGAGAGAGTGACCTTCAGCAGAAATGAGCCCGAAGTCAAATACAGAACACCTCAGGACTCTGTTGTATAAAAATCTACGTTTGGGTGTATCACTTTTGTGGCTTTTTGACTATGATCTCTATGCGATAAAACCTCATTGTTTTCCATGATAATTGTTGTATGATTATGCGAATTTTTTTGTACAGAGGGATCGAATGAAATTATATATTCTTTGATAGGTCCAAAATTGCAACAATTATAGAGGAAGGATTATAGATGAGGAATACGTCAGGTTTGCTCAACGACTTGCTCCTGATTCTGCAAGAATGGTTCAATAGTCCAGAACCACATTTGAGATTTTAAAAAAATCATTTCGGTGATGAACTATATAAGGCTAGAACAGCTGAAAAGTCTCCGATATTGTAATATTTTTTTCACTGATCCTAAGAAAAATTCCTTCATTAAAAAAAGTAAGCAAGTCGGAGGGAATAGGCGAGCTGTCAAGAGCAGACCACGCATGATGACACCGCTCTAATAAATGAACGCGTACATCAAATAGCTCCATCTGTAAGCTTTGAATCTTGCTGCCCCCTGGGGACGTTCAAAAATTGCGTATGACAGCCTTGTTCAGGCGCCATCGCGGGCAATTGGTATAAGTTTTCAACCAGCAATAAACGCACCTCGGCAGAGCCTCATTGGTCACGTTATCGCCTCTGCGCAAAGCTACCGACTACCCTGGGTAAGGCAGTCACAGGTAGGCCTGCTGCGTATACCTGCCGATTTGCTTATCTCACCACAACAGCGGGTAATGACTGCGTCGCAGTCGCGGGTTCGCACCCACGAGGCCGCGATAATCGGTAATTATCGCCTAGCGCACTTTCAGCGATCCTTAGAACGAATGTGGAACTTATCAACATTTTGGCATCGGACTTACTCCCAAGAAGTATTTTTCCTTTCTAGAGAATTTGAAAGGAAAAATGTAAACTTGTTTGCATTGGCTAATATAAAATTTGGATTTGAGTCTTGTAGTTTGATCAACAACACCTGGCGTGAGGTGACCTGCTAATCTGATATTTCGCTAATTTGATCTATCCCTTCGTCATTAATCAATAATTCGCTCACCATCTTTTAGCAAAAATTATTTTTTGAAAAATGGTATATTCAAGAGTAAAAAAACAGAAACCAACTAGGTGTAAATAATTTTAATCGGATCCTCCAAATTTTCAGAATATCTCAAGACTCCTTTTCCTACGTAAATAGTGTTAAATCATAATACCATCTTGGAATCTTGAATTCCGAAGATTTATGGTTTGATACGAATGTGGCTGATGTAGGCCTGTCAAAGTTCGATGGTCTTAATAATAAATTTTTTAAGAAATTATGGCGAGATATAAAAATGAGAAAAAAGCTACGCCATATCCTATGGGGTTTGCTCTATCAAATCGTTACTTGGACTCATTCGGAGGGTTGATGTAAAAATTTAGAAAAATTGTGAAACTTGAGCATCTCAAAAGCATGGATCGCAGATTTTCGTAATTCTTCAAAAGCTCATTGATTGTGCTGTAGAAATACTGTGACCCTTAGAAAGAGGATGGAATTCTGCATCGAATGCTATCAAGACCTCTTACAAATCTTTGTTCCATCACATGTGGCGCCCGTTTGAAAAAAGCGAAATTACTTTCGGAATGACCTAATATTTTGCATCAGAATATCATATAAATAACTCTTGTGATTTCCATACCGACAATGAGAAATAATAGTTAGCTAGCTCTTGCTAGAGCGATGCTGGGCTGTTCTCACATGAAAATTTCTTTGCTACAAACCTTTGCAAGTATGGCCGTGAATTTCTAACAGTCTACAAACGCTATTTCTTCAGAAAAGAAATTTGGTGCAAAAAACCGAAAAAGGCTATATATTTGCATTCCTTCCTTTTTGTTTCTCGTATTCTGTCCACGGAAAAATTGAGGAACTGTGCGAGTAATGTTTGATGTGGAGCATTACACAAGAACTGCAGGACCCTTTTGGACGAAAAACAGTTTATTAAGATTTAGATTTTTGATCTTGGCTTTGAATTTCCCGTGGATTGATTTCCTTGCTAATGCTTCAACTCCATTTCGTGGGCCTTGTCGTGCTCTATCAAAAAAATGTTTCTTATATTCTTTTGACTATCTGTCCCCTATCACATTAAAACAATTTTTGATTTGATTTAGATTCACACAATTGCAACAGCAGTAATTCTCCGAAGCAAAATCGGTTTTAGTCTCGAAAACGCAAAAAAGGCTTCTTTCTGTCAACCTAATACAATCTACGTTGGATCGCTGCAAAAGTCCAACATTCAACAAACAAAACAAATTTACACTAAAATTTATCTGTGAATGCCCTAGTAAAACACTTTTCCTTCTGAAGAGAAAGTGTCATGGACATAGATAACTGAGTAACCCTGGAGTCCTATTTTGAAGCATTTTCAAGTACCTTACAACAAAGAGCAACTTAGCGTTAAGTCATTGCTGTGGGACAATTGTCGTTAAAAATTATCAAATTTTTTTACGTTGTGTGCAAGTTAAGTTAAGCTAGATACCAAGAAGAGCTTGAGGGGACCGTCCATCCAGATTGGGGATAATGAGATTTTGATGTTGACAATACTAGGTTGTAAAGAAAGTTCTGCCAATGGGCGTTGAGCCAAATTTTTTTATTCATATTGAGTGGCTGTCAATTGACGATATTTTGCCTTAGATTACTGATTAGGTATGCATGGATGCTCTTTTCAAAAATCGCGCTGGCTGCGTTTCGAAACGGGTGGCGACGTTGAATTCAACAGTTATTTCATGCTTCTGGATATCACTTCATCTAGCCAATATACAAGGTGTAGAACGGATTTTTATACAAATCTTCTGCAAACTTTATGCGTCCATAATCTGAAAATGTGAATTTTCGCAGACTTAACTGCAACAAATTTTTCTCCTTTTTGGGCTTTCTTCCTAGTTGATCGTCATTTTTTCGAGCTAAACAGCGTATAGGGTAGCGGGATCATCGCACACTAAGAACACATCTCAAGAAATTCGCTTGCATTCGCATTCACTTTTGCTAATTATGAAAAAAATTGGCAGAACTTTTTTACAACTCAATAGTAAAGCCAGTAACTAACCAGCCGCCCGAGTGTCGCTGCAGAAGAAGAATTCCAGAGCAAGAAAACGTTTAGGTAGAGGCAGAGTCACGTGTTCGACCATCAATCTGGGTGGTTTAAAGATGGCAAGCCTTAATTTGGGCTTCAACGTATACAGATTGATCCGCCCTTCATCATGATCATAAGATTTGCCACCCTTCTGTCCAATCTGAATCTGAATTTTTGAGGTATTCTCGGACCATCCACATTCATGGCTGGAGCAGGCATGGTCGCTTTTACCTTCTGAAGCAATTTTCTTGCTGAAATTTATTTTTTGAGCGAGACATGGGTGACGCTCATCAGGAGCCACGCGATTATTCAACATTAAACTCACATACGATTGCGAGGAAGACTGTGCCGCTGCAGTTGTTGAGCGTACATTGAATCGTAAGATTCAATCCCCATCAAAGTGCGAGGCTATTGTTGCTATAGGCTACTGCATGACGAAGGGACAAAATCTTTAGGCACGAACGCGGCTTTATTGGGCGCAGAGCGCAAGGTTTACGACGGTGAGGATACGCGCACCGCGTTTGCGTCGCTTAATAGTGCTGCTTCTGCTTCTTCCTTTTGCAGTAGCCTTTAGATGTTATTGACAATGTGAACGTACTAACAACAAAAACGATGAAATGGGTATATGTTTACTGCAGACAGCCTCTATTTATCCGAACATATTTACACCTCAAAGTTTGTAGATATGCTTGAAAGCATGTGTTTTTCATATAGACTCTTTGTGAATCAATTACCTGAGCTGAAATTTTGCAAGCCATGTTTCTGGTGGATTTTAGGTTATTTCTGGTGATGGATCGCTCCGCCAACTTATTAATTTACTGATTTTTAGCACTTTTCTACAAAAAGTAAGTCTAGTCTTTACCAATCTCAAAGTGAAAGCTTCATGCAAGCAGCACCATTAAAGCTAATTTTTTGCGGTGATCAATATGCAGTTTGGGCTGCTTGGAGGTAAGTATTGATTTTACAGTAAACTTCAAAGCTCCACTTGGCTGGGGTGAGATGGGAAAGGGAACGTAAGAGGCAGGTTCAAAGAGAACACAAGCTTGTCCTTGAACGGTTTGGGATTCACATTCTAGTCCCCACTTTCATATTAACGGTGACACTTAGCCCGGATAACGCTTGAATCACTATCCAGTTGTTAACATAATAGTCTGCTACCTCCTCGCTTGAGTAAGCACAACACCTTCTGTACCTCCTTCAAATCACCAAATGGATCAATCGGATCACCGTACCTTAAAATGTGTATGGGCAAGGAAAGTTGTTGCAATATATTATTACCTTCCTAAGCCACTGTGCTCGATGGAAGAGAAAGAAATTGAGAAATCATAACTTGCATTTTTTCTAGATGTATGACATGATCCGACACAAAAAGACATCGACTCTCATAGAAGATTTGGAACTTACTCGCTCCATTGTTTTGCGAATTCGATAGGATGAATATACTCAATTTTTTTTGTTCCAACAATTTTTGTTTCTTGGTATTCTACAGTGACTACCTAAAACGATTTGTATTTGTAAACGACCATGTGAAGGTGGTTGCAAAAATTTAAATTTAATAGTTCAATCTCTTAGCCAGAAACATGATGAATCGTCAACACGGAAACAATGGGCACCTGTAAATAGTATTTGAAGTCAGTGGCTCTTCAAAATTGATCCCTGTCAGATTTTAGTAGTTTTAGGTAACAGACCGTCCAAGTAACCTTTCATTCAACTATATTGACGGCTAAAAAAAAGGGGGGGGGGGACTTCGTGACCTAGTCAAGGCTAAAGGATGATCAGAGAGCACGAGTGCGAGAAAGACGCCGAATGTGTCGCGGCGCGAGGAGCCTTAATTAGATCACAAGGCCCTGCCTTCAATCCAGTTGAAGCAAAGGTTACATTGTAGTACCCAACAGTACCTTTTATCGATGCGCTAAGTCCCGAAAACGCGTTTTAAACTCCACCAGCTCCGCACACTTCCATTGCGTGGGCGTCATTGGTAGAATCTGAACTTTTGGAGTTTTCAGGACTCAGCGCATAAATCGGAGGGTAGGATTTGACCTAGGGTGTACCTGGATGGTCCACTACCCAAAACTATTGAATTCTGACAGGGGGTCCATTTTGGAAATTACTGCCTTTGACAAAAAAAATTAATAGTTACTGAAATAACCTTAGCAGCACCATTTCGAAGTGCCAGCACTTCTACCCATGGCCATTCCGATCCAATTACAAAACCAGTCATATTAACCACAGGGTAGTCTTGCAATGCGTAGTAAACAGCTACTGCAACTTCAGCGTATGCGTTTCTTAGACAAAGTGAAAGCTTACAGCCTTCTTCTCCATAACCAACAACTGGACTAGGAACTGTCACCATTGACTGAATCGTGTTCCAGACGACACTACGTGGCTCTGCTTTGTTATTGTAATAACTCTATAACATGAAAATAATGCTATCTTTAAGTTTTTTCCCTTTTTTTCATCTTAGATGCAACAGAAAAAAAAATTAATTTCTTTAGATATACAAGTATTTGACTCTAGAACGTTGTCTTCGCTTTTATATGGTTTGAATATGCTTAAAAGTTTTTTGATAGCTGATTATGGGTGGCCTCTTGGAATACCTTCCTTATCAAAATGCTTGCCTTGAAACGCTGATCTCGAAACTATCTTCGTTAGCAACAAAAGAAAGCACTAACCACTGGACCATTCAAAAAATCCAGCACCTACTAAAATTACTACGTAAAATTACCCCCACAATGGTCGCCGCCTCAGCGTGGCGTAACGGTGACACTGGCGTCGAACTGCGATGACAGCCGAGTCTACACTTTAGCAGACCCCCCCCCCCCAAGCCCAAGCTGTGAAAGAGTTCGACGTTTTCAGTTTCGGCCGGATGCCTAGCTAAGAGCCGGCCAGACCAGATCCACCGCCGCCTGGTTTCTGGTCCTTAGGCGGTTCTCCTCGCTCCAAGCCCGGGGTCAGCGATCGCCCGGGAAAATCAAGAGCAGCCCTAGTGATTCTGCTCTTGTAGGAAACAAATCTTATTATTCAGTCAGCAAGAAGATATAGAAAACCCTGCACATCGGATCCTGCCAACGGCGCCGGGTGTTAGCAAGAACGATGTCAGGGTCCTCAGGGAGCCTTTTGGATTCGGACAAAAACGACACGTCTGCCCGGTCGACACGCCATGGAGACTGCTTCATGCTTTGCATCTACAACGCTAGGACACTCTCACAAACGCTCTTTCCTCCACGCTCTTCTTGACGTTGCAGAGCACATCAAATACCACGTTATCGCTCTGCAGGAAAGTCCAGGAAGAAGGACGTGCGACAGATGAGGATGGGAGGCTGGGGGGCTCATCATTCGTGGTAAGAAGGCTCCACCACGAACGTTGGCGTTGGCCTTCTCGTCCACCCATCTACCGTCCATCTTGTCGATTTGCATGAGATCCTGTCACCGACTAGCCATCCTACGACTACGACTACGACCTCCATGTCAGGACACAATCAATCATCAACTGCTACTCACAAACATCATCAGCCGACGATTCAGCACTAGATGCTCTCTTCGAAGACGTGGAGGAGGTCGTCCGCAACGAGGAGCCCTTCTACAAGTTTGTTGTGGGCGAAATCAACGCGAAAATCGGGATGCCACTAGAAAAGGAATTTAGGATCGGGAAGTTTGGATATGGACTCCTGTACGAAAACGGCAACCGTCTTTTTGGACTTCTCTCCGCCGCACAACTTTTTCATGGAAATTGCGTCTTCATGAAGAAAGAACATCGCCGGTGGACATGGGAATCGCTCAACGGAACGACTTACGGAGATCGACCACATTTTACCATCGAAGGTGGATTGTCCGATGTCTTAGTAGTTCCATCCTTCTGCAGTTGCTCTAATCACCGCCTCCTTGGAGCGAAGGTGCGATTCTGTCGAAAGCTGGAAAAGAAGGTTTGCGACAGTGTCGCAAGAAGGAAAGAAGTCGTTTAGACGGTTAGAAGAGCTCATATCAAGTTGTGACTGGCCCATCGAGGAGGACCCAACGTACGACTAGGACCGGCTTCTGAAAGGATTGCGAGCCTGCGGAGAGTGCGCCTTAGTTACTTTCGAGAAGAACTTGAACGCATTTCGAAAACCACCAAGGAATTGCTCGAAAGGAAAAGATTTTTGAGATCCGAATGCAGTCCATCTGGAGGACTGATAGCCAACGCCAGTTGCAGAACAGCTCAAGAGGATCTTAGGAGGTAAGGGTAGGCCAAGAAACTGGAGGCAGCCGAAGAAAGACGAAGTTTCAAGAAGTGCCGAAGGCCTCTGTGAATATCATGTACCGTTGGCTGCACTACTGAACGAAGACGGGACTCCGATTTCTTCCCGATACAAGATGGAATCTGTCGAGAAGGACTTTTATACCAACCTCTTCCGCTCATCAACACCCGTGCCGATGCCCGTTGTTCCCACTAGAAAAGTACCACCACGATTTCTACCTGCTGAAGTGCGCACGGTGATTCAAACCATGAAGACGTCCACGGCTCCAGGGCCAGACCTTTTTCCGTCGAATTTTTGCGAGCCGGAGGACAATGCCTATACGAGACTCTCGCGTCGTACTCAACATCTTACCTTCCGAAGGAAAGGAATCCCGACCACTGGAGAACGTCAAGAACCTCCTTATCTCAAGAAGGGTGAACGGGAGGATCTTCGGAACTACCGTCCAATATGTCTGCTGAGTGTGCTGTACAAGCTTTTTGCGAAGATTATCCTCACTCGCATATCTAGGACACTGGATGAAACTCAACCCTAAGAACAAGCTGGATTCCGCAAGGGATTATTTGCATGGACCACATTCAGACGGTTTCGAGGATCATAGAAATCTGCCGGGAGTACCGAGTGCCTCTCGTCCTGACCTTCGTCGACTACGAGAAAGCCTTTGACAGCTTTAAACCTAACGCCATCCTGTCACCGCTAGTCAACCAGGGAGTGGATCCAGCTTACCTGAGACGTTAGCCGACTGTTACAAGAACTGTACAACAACGATGCAGCTATTCCATCACCCCTTGACCATTTCGATTGCGAAGGGGTGCATCAAGGCAACACTATTTCGCCGAAGCTGTTCACCGCGGCCTTGCTGGGTGATGAAGTCACTGGACTAGGGCGAGAGAGGCATATGAGTTGACGAAAGATCCCTGCGAACCTTCGTTTTGCGGATGATATCGTTCTTTTTTCGAGCAGTATCACTGAAGCAGAGACAATGCTGAAGGAACTGAACGAAGTAGGGAAGAAGATCAAATTGCGAATGAATGGAAGAAAACTCAGTTCATGAGGAACGCCCTTTGCGAAAATGCAGAAATGGGATTGGAAGGCATTCCTATCATGGAGACGCCTTCTTACGTGTATCTCAGACGTTCGAGGAACATGGAGAACGTTGAGGGAAGAACTTAACAGGAAAAAAAGCAGCTTGGGCCGCCTTCGAGCCTCTGAAGGAAGCCACCGACCGCGGACTCGTAGCTTCGTGCCCACCTGTATTCAACCGTTCTCCCGGCGCCCTCTTACGCAGCTGAGACTTGGGCTGACACCGTAGCCACGTCGAAAGCCCCACAGAGCGCTAGAGCGTAGTCTTCTGAAAATGAACACAACACAAACAACATCTTGTCGGACTTCGCAGTACGGATATGAGAAGCATGCCTCGTTTTCGTGACCCAACGGATTACGTTGTGAAAGCGAAACATCGATGGGCGGGTCACATTATGAGAAGAACACACGATAGATGGACACTAAGAACGGAGTGGATTCCTCGCGAAGCAAAACGTCCCCAAGGAAGACCTCCAGCGAGATGGGCAGACGTGTTCGTGGAACGGTGGACCAGCTGAGAAATCAGCTGGATGCGATTGTTGCACCTGGAACTCGTGGACGCAGCCACCAACGTCAGCCAAGAAGATCGTGGATGTCTGAAGCGAGGAACAGGGAAAAATTGAAACTTTGCTGGGGCCCCCACGTCACGTAAAGGCGGGCCATCTAAGTATCTAAGTAAGTAAAATTACTCGCACTTTTGTGCAAACATGTCAGATGGTGGAAAATACGGTTTTCTTCGAAATGTTCCGCAGATAACGAGTACGATTTTGACATCACCGTTCCAAGGTAAATGTCATGACATATGTTACATATCGAAAGGCCACGGTCACCATGTATCCTCTCACGTTAGCATATTCACTGGCCACATTCATCAACGAACCCCCAAGGTTAAAAATCTGCCTTAAAGGCAGGGTCCAGGCAGAATCTCGACTTTTCTTTTTTTTGCCTAATCCAAGCTTCTTCATGACGCTGATTTCAAATATGGCAGTCGAAATTTGTGAATTCTTCAAAACCCCCCTCCCCCCCCATTTTTGAGACAATTTTGTGAGAAGCCTGGAGTGTTTCTATTGCTATCCTTGTCGAAAGCAAGCATTGCGAACGGCCCGCGCCCTTGAACAAACTCTCCTCAGCCCTTGACGTGTTTTCACGTGGCAAACAGGATGGAACACATAGTTACAACTGTTAATGATTGCTTTTGACAAGGATTGCGATAGAAGCACTCGTCCAGGCTTCTCACAAAATTGTCTCAAAAATGGGGTTTTTTGAAGAATTCACACATTCGACTGCCATATTTGAAATCAGTGTCAAGAGGCTTGGATTAGGCAAAAAAAGAAAAGTCGTGATTCTGCCTGCCTGCCTTTAACTAGATTGAAATAAATTTTAACCTAAAGGCTTGGCTTATAACCCGTATTCATAACATAATCGCAAGAAGTTTTCTCATGGGTTTTGAGTCCACCTTGAGGTAGAAGTCAACCTCGAGACGCATAATGCCGTATTCATCAATCTACCTTATGTTTAAATCTCCCCTTAATTATTATTTCTTCTTTAACTTTCCGTTATGCGTTCAAGGTATAATTCAACTCTAGGATGGCTAATTGTAATCTACCTTTACTTTTAAACAGAACTGTTGTACTTTCTCAAAAAGCTTCTTGATTCATACGAAACCGTTTTTTATCACTAATATTTCCAAAGACAATGATCATTAATGGACGAATCATCAAACCATAGTGACAAGCAACATCGGTGATTTGGATATTGAACGAGCTTCTGCCTTGAGAGAAATTTTTGCCACTTGTATAATAATCCAGCTTCACTGATGACAGTCATGCTATTTGATTTTCTAAGCCTACTGTTTGAAATATGGAAGGTCCAGACTGTGCGAGTGTTTTAGTTGAAGATGATTTTGTCTTGTTAGCTCTTTACCTAAATAGCAGAGTAGTAGCACTAGCAACTTCAATAAAAGAAAGAAAAAGATGGCTGACAGTTAAAACAATTATAACAGGTTATAAGCTCTTCTTTCTTTGAACCTTGGCGTGACGATTGAATTTTGTTTGACTTTCTTCTACAACACAACAAATTTTTACCATAGCTCTTTATTGAGCCTAACGTTTCGACGAAAAGCCGTCCTCAGAGGCCTGAATGTGTCAATCAATTCCATCAGAACAAGCCGTTGTTACATCGATTCAATCCAATGTAGATGAGTGCTCTAAGATCCTTGACGAACAATTAGTACATTTGATTGACCAGAGAGGCACATAAATGGCTAATTTTTCTTTACACAAATGAAACGGCGCTGTATAAAGTGCGGTTCATAATTATACGAACACCCAAAATTTCATAAGTTTTCGGACTTTTTGGGAGAAACTCAAAAAGCCGTTGGCACCACGCGATAGAACACAGCCGAAAACGGTATATGATCCATAAGAATAGAAATCGATATCAACTGTAGGAGTATTTTTGCGCCTAATGCGAATTTTTAGCGGTTCATAATTATACGAACACCTCAAACAAAGGTCCATTTTTTATTCAAGATTGCAATCATTCGAGTCCAAATTTTTTGAAGGGTTACACTAACAAAGTCTGACTTATCTGCTACACACTAAACCCAGTGCAGTTCAAAACAAGGACCGTTACCTTCTTCAGAAGGCTCTAAATGCTTTTGGAGTGATTGCGCTCCAAAAACATCCGTTCTTCTGTAGTTTACGCACTCTAATTAGCTTCTACCAAGGCTACGAGATAAAATAAGCTTATCGATGAATATTTTGTTTGACGCTTGGAAAATCTTTGCGTTTTCGTGCCGTTTTTCAACCAAGTTCCAACCTTACCACAAAGTTGGCACGATTTTGAGCCTCAAACTCAGCTTCTGAAGCCGTACAATGAAGTAAGCATATAATATGTGGAAGTTCACAAAACTTTATATGTGGCTAGAAACAATCAGCAGCGTTGAGCGTTTGTTTTGGTCACGCAGACGTCATTTCACCAGAAATACTGTTTTTACTATTGCAGTCACACCTTTATTTGGTTTGTAGCTCCACAGCCGCAAGATCAGTTCTAAAAAAAACCCAAAAACTTTGTCATAGAAACATCATCATGCAAACAATGCAGCTGCTTCATATCAAATGTTTGCACAAGAGAGAAGCTGAGTTTTGAAGTTTGAAATCGTGCTAACTCTGTGGTAAGGTTGGAACTTGGTTGAAAAACGGCACGAAAACGCAAAGATTTTCCAAGCGTCAAACAAAATACCTATTAAAAAAGCTTATTTTATCTCGTATCCTTGGTAGAAGCTAATTAGAGTGCGTAAACCACAGAAGAACGGATGTTTTTGGAGCGCAATCACTCTAAAAGCATTTAAAGCCTTCTGAAAAAAGTGAGGATCCTCTTTTTGAATTGCACTGGGTCCAGTGTGTAGCAGATATGTCAGACTTTGTTACTGTAACTCTACAAAAAATTTGGACTCAAATGGTTGCAATCTTGAATGAAAAATGGACCTTTGTTTGAGGTGTTCGTATAATTATGAACCGCTAACTATTCGCATTAGGCGCAAAAATACTGCTACAGTTGACATCGATTTACATTCTTATGGACCATATTCCGTTTTCGGCTGTGTTCTATCGCGTAGTGCCAACGGCTTTTTGAGTTTCTCCCAAAAAGTCCGAAAACTTACAAAATTTTGGGTGTTCGTATAATTATGAACCGCACTTTACAATGAGTGGCATCAAAAAAGAGCAGCAAAAAGATCATCCTATGCCCAACCTCTGCTCATCCAATTGCCATGTAAGCGCGGTAATCACAACATGTTAAGAACAGCAAGCAGCGAAACACAGAATTCCCAGAAGGGCACGCATGAACACTAGAAACCGAATTCGAAAACGCGTTATTCGTGCCGTTCATCTCCGACAGAGTGAACAGCGCTGTTAGACGATGTATAGCGCAAGTTCAATTGCAAAATAATGTTGTTTTAGTGATTATACCACAAGATAGCATCAAAAAAGATCTGGTTCGAAATCGACTGCACGATAAAGCTTGCAGCTCGCATAAGTGCGTTGGTGCACAGATGAGAGGTCAGGGGAGATTGTTCACGAGAGGTGTACTTTATCAGTTGGAATGTCGAACATGTCTGGCCATCTAGATCATACTCTATGGGCGACCGAAAGAGCTTTTTTCCTGCTCCTCTTTAGAATTCTTGGTAAGTCAAGCCGGCTTGGACGCTGGACTGCAGTCACAATAGACGAGTCAAACGCACGAGTTGGACGAGGTGTTTGAATGGTGCTTAAATCGTTGCAAAATGGATTAATATCTAAGGAATTTTAGATTAGCATTCGCAATATATAGAACACACGACCTCGTGGCTGGCGTTTTTTTCTTGACACTCAGATACATCTATCCAGCGTGCTGTTTGGATCGAGTGGAAAGGTTTTATAAAAAGAAAGCTCCGAGAGGAGAACTTCAGTAGTATTCTTGTCTATTCTACATCAGCGCATCCTACAGCTTTGAAGCGTTCTGTCTTACCTAAATAAAACCGCTGCAGAAATTTTAAAGGCAAAAGGAACGATCAGAGTCACGGCAGTCTGGCATCCAAAGTTGCTCTCAGCAATGGGTACACGATAGCGCAGTCATGACGTAGATCATTTACACACACAATCAGTCTGTTCGAACTGTATCAAGTTCGACGGGTTTTGGGTGGTTCATATCACATCTCGTTTTATTTTATATATATTTATTATACAGGGTTTACACGTATACACAGTACGCACTATACAGACATTACTATTCCCTTTCCTTTTCCTTCTTGTTACCTGGCCTTGCCTCTAGGGCACGTGTTACATACAGACGGAGTGGCCGGGAGGAATAGCGAGAGCTCTTTTGCTCTTCCTTTAAATATGCTCTGCTATGCCAAAACATAGATCCAGCGATAACAGTAAAATGTTATGGGAACAAACCATAAGATCAGATAAGAGATGTTGTGAGAAATCATGATTCGTCAGAGTCATGACACTCCCGCCGAAAACGAAAAAGTTTCATTGCCTCATTTTTTCCGATAGCGTACGAATTGCCGGAAAGTAATGACAAAGAATATATACACTATACACTATAAACAACGAATATATACAAATACCTTACCAAAGAGTGACAAGAAATTTAAAAGTAACAACATTAAATACAAACAAGTGAAAATAAGATGACAAACAAATATTTGCAAATACATACGTAGTATCTGAGTGATACTGATGGTCGGCTGTCCATCCTTCTCTTCTCAAGACTCGTCGGAGATGTAGGAATCTTGTGTCCCGATTGATATAGTCGGTGGACGGCTCCTTATTGTTGTTGATTTGTTTGTTTTGTTTACATTTTACCTCTTTCTAAAGTTTTTTTACTCGTTTTCCTAGTTTTTTACTTCATTTCGTTTCATTTCCTTCACATTTATATTTTCCCTTTGTTTCAAATGTTTATTTCTATATCTTTCTTTTGTTTCCTTTTCTGATTCTGTTTTTTTCTTTTTTTTGTCTTTTTCCGTTTCGCTGCTATGTGATTTTCCATTATTTACTTGTTGAAAGGGTGTTTCCTCCCACTTTTTTTTGTTCAACTGAGCGATAATATTGTATTTATATTTTTATTCAAGATATTATGACAATTGACAATATATATATATAGTTTCCTCACAGTAATAAATTTCAACAACAAGTGTTGTAGCAATACACAATTATATGTTACAATATTGCCTCACAATTATTTCCTTAATTAGGAAAGATCCATGGAACCTTTTACCGATTCAATAATTTCCGATTGCTCGTTGAAATTACAAATTCTAATTTCATTATATATTTACAAGAATACAACATACAATCCAATTTTGCAATTATGTTTTACCCGTTGTCTGTTTTGTTGAGAAAATTATAAAGATTTGTAAATATCATAGCTTGATTTACCTTTATAATTTTTACACGTTGAAACCTTTTAAGGTCTTGATTACCAGTATTTCTGCTAATCGGTAATACCTATCTCTGAATGTTGTATATCTTACGCATTGCGGTGACCAATGTTTCCCTGAACAAAGCTTGCATTTTGGGTTGCTTGGGTCTCCTTGAAGGTTAATTACCGAGTTTCGAGTTCCTTCTTGGTGCTGCTGCCATCTTCTTTCCCAAGAGCTTGCCAGCTCGTGTATGTCTTCCTGAGACGGAAAGTGATTATTGTTGTTTTTATCAGGTTTCAAATTTACTAACCCTTAACGCAAGAAGTAGATTTTCCAATTTTGCTAGCCCTAATGGGATTTCCGCATTTGGGTTCGGTGAGGCTGGCGGAGGCCTTTCCATACAATATGTAAGTTCCCTTGCTGATTGTTGTTCTTCTTGTTCTTGCTCTTGCCTTCCGTGTCCTTGATTTTCTTCTGTTTCCTCCTCTTCCCTTAAATCATATCGTGATGATGCGCCTTCTTCAGCCATAGCACTCTGTAACATTTTTAATTTATTTTGATTACCAGACGTAAGTTGAATGAGTAAAGACTTGAAAATTTAAAGGGATTTGGAGTTGAAGACTTGAAGACCGCGCATACCGGCGGAACGAAGTTTATGGCTTGGTTTCTCGAGCTAATGTTTCCTTTCCATTGTATTTTCTCGTACTTCGCGAGCACTTGCTTGGAGAGATCGTGCCGATAATGAAATGTTAGCCTTGTAAAGGCTGTGTCGGCATAGAGCGGAAGTACAGTAGAACGTGAAATGTTGATCAACGTTCAATGCGCTGCCCTTTGTTTTCAGGGCCTTTCCTTTTTTGTTTAGATTTACTTTTATTTGCAAAGTTTGATTGTAATAGGTATAATTTGCAAATCCCTGTCTTGCTTGTTGCGATTTTGTGTTTAATGTATTGCATTTTCCTCCCACGATGCTGTTTTTTTTTGTTTTCGTTGCGTTTACGTGCATGTACATCAGCATATGTCGCTATAATGACGGCATACTTTGTGCTAGATCAGCTGTTGACATGAATTGCGCATGGTTTTTTCCCTGTGTTCAATTTTGCGCTGGTCGATTGACCATATGTGTTCCCTTTCTCTCATTTTCCGCGTGTTAATGTTGTTGCTTGTGTCTGTTTTGTTCTTTGCAAAAGTTCTGCTATTTTCTTCATTTTTTCCCATATTTCAATTAAATGAGCATGTTCAGTAAGTATTCTCTTTCTGGCCTTTCTATTTTCCAGTTTATCGACTTTGAATGGTTGCCATCTGTGAGAAACCGCTTTGGAATGTTCGAAATTGTCTGGGCATATTCTTTTCCAACGGTAGTTTCTGAGAATTTGAGGCAATGTTCGTTGTTTTTCCAAGAATTTCCTGAATGCTTCTCTATTTTCGCCGAAGCTGCAGCCTTTGAGTCTGTTATATTTCTATGCATTTAAGTTTTCGCGCTTTTATACTCATTGCGAATTGCTTTTGTAGCCTGTAAGGGTTGTATGAAGATTGTAGTTTCGTTGTTACTGAACAGTTTCTCCGTTTTCTGTTAAAGTTTTGAATCTTACATTGTTGTTATTGTTGATTTCTTCTTGCCGTAAGTCGTCGCCTTGCATTGATTGATTGCTTTGCGCTTTAATTGTTTACGGTTTCCAAATGCACTGCTCTCGTTGTCATACATGTTACCGAAACGATCTATTTGACTTCTTTGTTTTCAGTGAGTGTTCGGAATGGCTCCGCCAAATCGATGCCCACATATTGAAAGGGGCGGCAGGGATCCGTACGTTGTCGAGGCAAGGAGGGGAACTTGGATACAAGTAAGGTCTTTCATTCCATATTACACATTTATTCAGCAATTTTTTTTAACCACTTGACGCCCATGCGGTATTCAAACCTTGAGTGTAAATTTGCGAGAGTGGCGTTAGTGCTTTGGTGACCAGATTTTTGATGATAGTCTTGGATTATATTTTTTGTCAGCGATAATTTGAATCGAGAAGAATTGGTTTTGCGTGTATCTTAACCAGTAATCAGTTTTTACTTTGCCATTGCAACGCAAGATCCCTTTATGAGAATTTCCTAGCTCTTGATATTTACGGTCATCTTTGTTAATTTGCCTCTTAATGAGTTTGATGATCGCTTCTTCAGCAATCTTCGAATCGCCAGTATTCCATTGAAGAGATGCTTTTTGTGTACTAATGGCGGCCATTCCAGGTATTGCATTTCCTAATTTTTCCTTATTTTTTGATTTAAGTTTATCGTATACAATAATCTTGAGCACTTTGATTACCAATGATATTACTTTTTTGCATTTCGCAAGATTTAAATAGTGCTCAAGGCGTGTATATAATTGTTCCCTTATTGTGCTGAGCTGTTTCATGATTACCTAGCGCTTTATTGTCAGAATTGGATTTTCCTTCGCCTCCCCGTTTTGCCAGTTGACACTTTCCAGTGTGGGCCGTTTTTTGTTTTCCTTTTTCAAAAATTCCGGTCCATTTCACAAGGTGTAGTTGCTCATCTGGCTTTCAGACAGTCCTTCAGTGGCGCAAATTTCTGGGTTATCAGCCGTTTGTATGTATCGAAGTATTTGCTTACGGTTTTGAAGTCATTTTCCCGTGATTTTCCTTATATTTCTTATTCTCTTTTCCACAAAAACTCCATTGTTATCTTGTGATTGCAGCCAATGTAGGGCGCATTTAGAGTCCCTGTAAATGCTTTCGGTCTCAATTTTTACAGACATTTCTTTCAAACGAAATCCGTTACTCGAACTCCTATGAGTATTGCGAGAAGTTCAAGTTTTGGGATTGTTAGTGATTTATATTTGATAGGAGTTAATCGTTGCCATGCCATATGCAGTTTGTTTTCGATGTTTTCCTTTTGGCTCAGCGAGCGTAAGTAAACAACTGCTGCATATGCTTTAAGAGATGCGTCTGGAGTTTGTATTGATAGCTTGCTTGACATAGTGCGATCACGCGAGGGATTGTTGCCACAAATTCCGCCGCTTTCTCACATATTGTTTTCCATTCGCTTTCTTCTTTAGGGGTCAGTAAGTTGTCCCACGCGCGTTTATGCTTTCAAAGAATTTGCAGAAACACTTATGCTGGCATCAACAGTGGTATGAGGTAACCTAGGGGGTCATAGGTTGCATTCGAAATTTGTGATATTTTCCTTTTGGTATATTTTTTGATCAATGTTTTGGGTTTTCATTTCTAATGATGTTACCCTTTTGGGTTTATTTCTTTCTATTCCGGCAAGGATTTATTTTAGAATTTCATTGTCACCTAAAGGTCTCAAGGGACCAAATTTTGTTCGGTTATTTTTTCTCGTCTTGTTCCTGAGGTCAACATAGGGTACATTCATACCGTGAATGCTTGCTGTCGTTTGTTTTTGCAAATTTGCAAAGTTTTCCTTCAAGGCGAAATTGTTGAGTATTGCAAGTAATTCAGGTTGTGAAGTTGCTAACTTGCTGAGTGAAATCTTAATCTTTGTTTTGCTATGAATGCTTTTTCTCATTGGGCTTGCAGAACCACTTTTTTTTTGCTGGGTCAATAGTGGTTTAAGATAATATAGAGTGGCATGGTTTGGTGTGTAATTTGCTGCACTTTGCTTTCCAGATTCTCAGCGAATACCGTAATTTACATTGCTGCTAAATTATATTGGGATTCTTCAGATAGCAAGATTTTCTGCTTGCTTAAAAATCTTTTTTCCGCATGGCGATAACACGGTTTGCGTGGAGGTAATCATGCATTTTCCTTTTGTTTGGACAGTCTATTTGATAAACATACTCAAAAGAAAAAAAAAAGCATTTATGCGAAGGGGTGGTCTGCAAAATTGTAGAATTCTTTCATTTCTATTGACCAGTGGTTGCGAAGTGATTAATCATAGAAACGTTATCAAGTTTTTTTTTTTCATTTTCCTGCAGATGAATCATGTGAAGTGCCTTTTCCCCGTCTGCTATCAGAATTTTGTTTCCTATACGGGATCTAATCAATATGCCTATAAAACTTGGAAGTAGCATTGGCCCTGGATGTATTACCTCATTGAGACTCAATTCCCCGATCATTTTTGATGACGCTTCTAAGACTGTAGTTTTCGTACTTGCACTTGCCGTTTTTGTTACTGCTTGTGGGGAATGTAATACCATGGATTTTCTTTGGGCTCGTCTATGGCATCTTCGATAGATTTCTTTGCAAGCTGTTCCTTTATTATGTTGTAATAATCTTTCCAACACTTGAATTTCTTGCTTTCATCTTGTATAGTTGATACATTCGACTGAGGACTAGATTATAGTTGTCTGCAGACTTATTTTTGTTATTTTTCCGAGAAAAGCAGGCGTATATCTTTTCCTCTTTTATTTTTACAGTTAAGTAAAGGTTTCGTAAAACTTGTTGCCTTTCTTCTTTTTCTGTTAAACGTTCTTCCGTGCCTATTCCCAAGGTTTTCATAGTTCTGAATGGTCTTGGGGATGTTACTGTATTTGAAAATTTTGTTGCCGTTGCGTGAACATATTAATTGATTTTACTTACCTTCAGCTTTGGATTCTCCCACACTGGAAACTTCCGAGATGATTGGTCCAAAGAAGTTTTGCATGACGAATAGTCCGGATGGCAGTTGAGTAGCAGGTATGTTGAGTTGGATCAAACTAAAGTAGTCTATCCTTTTGAGAATTTCCGGGTCAACATTTCCTTGTGAAATCTTTCGGTGTTTTCTGGAGACATTGTTTTCAATGCTTTTCTGTCCAGATAGGATAGTCTTTCCAAATTTAGATTTGTAGCCATAGTACCATGTGTGCCATTTTCTGTGAGGATGTTCTCAACCTCAACTGGGACAGCACCTGGGATAATGGGTTTTGTAACCCTTTATCGTCCCTTGACACTTTCTTTTCCAGACTATAAGTTTCCGAGCAGTGAATTTACCATGGAAGGAAGCTTGAAACATAAATTGCTTCTTGTTTTTATTTGATCTTTGAGCGTTTCTTTCGCGCTTTCGCGTTCGCAGCGCTTTTCTAGCTTCTTGGCGCTTAGCTCACCAGACCTCAATTGGTTGTGAATAGACAGTTGTTTCCAATCGAACTTTTTCTCTTTTCCTAATGTCTTTCAAAATTGCCTTTGAAGCTTTACATCTTTCTGATTTTTCCTCCGGCTTGACTTTGTTTATTTGTTGGATGAAATTCTAAATGAGTTCCTTTGCATAAGTACATTAAGCTATGTAGTTGCCGGTAAATTTTCTATTTCTATTTAACTTCTTCATCTTTGACAACTCGAGTTGACTTTACCTTGTTATTTTCAGGCTCGATGCCTCACGGAGAGAACGGAGGAATAACATTCAAGGATGATGAAGTGGTCTGGGGCGCCCCTCTTTTGTATAGTTCCCTGATCAATGCTTTTATCATTTCCCATTTCGTGGGAAATCTCTGTTTATCACGGTTGTTTCCGTGCTTTATCGCAGTTTGATGTGAGATGTGATAAAGTTCTTTATTTTCAAGATTTGTTTTATTTCCCTTCGGCTTGCAGGCTTTCTTATTCTCTCCAAATTTTGGGAACTATACTTTTTCATTACCATCGTCAATTTTTCTTTATGCCTGCAACGTTTTTTGAGCTAGCTCACTTATTCAATTTATTATTCATCCTCATTTCCGCGGGACACACATTTTACCGAAGGGAGTCCATTTATATTATCTTCAAGTATGGGGGGAACGTTCCTTCTCAAGTCAAGGAAAACCGCTGGGCATGACTTTAAAATTGCGGGCTCTGGCGGGCCCTATCAGAGCCGCTTTGCCACATTTTGCGGTTTCCTTGCCTATTTCAGCCGTTCAACGGCTAGTCTTTTTCGGCCTTTACCAGTTCGGCCGATGCACCATGTTCGAACTGTATCAAGTTCGACGGGTTTTGGGTGGTTCATATCACATCTCATTTTATTTTATATATATTTATTATACAGGGTTTACACGTATACACAGTACGCACTATACAGACATTACTATTCCCTTTCCTTTTCCTTCTTGTTACCTGGCCTTGCCTCTAGGGCACGTGTTACATACAGACGGAGTGGCCGGGAGGAATAGCGAGAGCTCTTTTGCTCTTCCTTTAAATATGCTCTGCTATGCCAAAACATAGATCCAGCGATAACAGTAAAATGTTATGGGAACAAACCATAAGATCAGATAAGAGATGTTGTGAGAAATCATGATTCGTCAGAGTCATGACACAGTCTTTGAAAAGCAATGACAACAGATTCTCTCTCTGCATGCCTTTTGTGTGGGACAATCTTAGCGAGGCAGTAAAACGATGCATAGCGAGCGCAGCTAGAGTATAATGTAATTTTGGTTAACCCCTGGTAGTAGCATTGAAAAGCGGTTGATTAGAGACAGGTTGTAGAACAGATTGCTTATCGAGGAGTGCATCGCCTGCCCTTACGGAAGGATAAGTGACTGTAGAGGGTATTGTATTCTATTTCGTGTGCCTAAATTATGGAACAGCATATACTAGGTTGTTCTGAAGGTTCTGTCCGACTTCGATTTGCCTTGTTTTAACGCAGCTAGTTTCTTGGAGTTTTATACTTGTCGCAGAAATATGAGTAACATCTGAAAGCATTTTTTTGCTCTTTCTAATGCTCACTAGAGCTTGACAAAAATCCTCTCAGTTATGAAATTCCAGGCCCAAAGCCAAACTGCCAAACTGCCAACAAGCTCAAGAAAAGTTTCTATAAAGAGAACTTACGCAGTAGTCGTAGAATTAAATTTGTAATATTTTATAGTGGGTCAGGGTGTAATGGGCTAACATACGCACACTTTACCTCCACCAAAGGAACGTCTTACTTTTCCAATTTTTTCTCAAAGGTGGAAGACAAATTCACAACGGAGGTCCGATTAGTCGAAGTGGCCTTTCCGAATGAGTCATATACCATTTTGAAGAGCGTTGAACGCTGATTCCGAACCTGATTTTATTATCTGCCGAGCGCCTCTGCATGCCGAGTTATAGATGTTTTTTGGAGCGAAAAATGAACGCAGAATTCAAGTAAAACTGACTATTACGCACTTTTCAGCTCCTAACTAGAGCAACTTGTAGTATGAGTGTTTTGGACAGAAGGTATCCTTTGACTCTTCATAGTAGTATATGACCCATTTGGAAAGGCCACTTCGACTGATCTGACCTCCCTTGTCAGTTGTTCAAAAAGCAACAACAGTCTACGTATAGCAAACGATGGCACACTTGATAATGCATACGGTAGAGTAAAGCGAGAGCAAGCGGGAACCGTCGGCCAGTTAGCTTTGTTCGTTCGCGGCAGCAAGAAAAAATTTAGTATAAGAAAGTCGACCTCTTTACAGCGCTGGGGAGGGCTCATATTAGGTTGTCCCGAAAGTTTTGTCGGTTTTTTCAAACCACTATAAAACTACGCACAATGAAGACCTGAATGAGTTTCAGTATGCTTTCGATGTAGCTTTTTCTTCTCATTCTTGTGGTTATATATATGAGCCATGATCCTGTACGGTTATTTTAATAATTGCCACAAATCTTCAGTCGTCATTTTTATCTGCTCAAAGTTAGGCTAATTTTTTTAAAAATTTCGTTACAAAGTTTTAAAAAGGACTAAGCATGGAACAAATAGAACAATTCTCGGGCTATACGGAAATATTTTTAGATTCTCCTAAATTGCTGTTTCTAGCATTAGAGAATTATTTTTTCAGAGGTCTCGATTTCTGGCAAAACCATGGAACACGCAACTGGGCAAAAACATGAAAGCTTTCGAAATTTTTGCGAATTGAAACTTGTTTGCTGATAAACAATAATTATGCAACAATACCAAGGTTTACTTGGCTTTAAAAAATAAGCTTTTTGGAATTTTTGGCAATTTTAAGTGGTAGACGTAATTAAGAAGCCATGGTTTTTCTTATATAAACAATTATTTTAGGACTTCATAGAGTGACCCATGTAATCTAAAATAAGTATAATGTAGCCGAAGAATGGCTCTACATAACACTTATTAGCGTTTTTTGAAAGTCATAGGAGAAAACTTTTTGAAATTTAGAAAAGATTTGGCGATACTGGTGAGCTGCTCAAAAAGCTATGGCGACAACATTGCGAAGACACGATAGATCAAAGAACAAACATAGTTGTAAGAAAGAGGATGAAAATCTGAATCAAATGGTACCTAGACCTTCCTTGAATAGGTGTTCTGTAGGTTTTAGTGAGCGATGGAAAAAACCGACAAAACTTTCGGGACAACCTAATATAATGGATTTTTTTGATTTGCTCGTAAAAATTTCTGTACACTAAAAATAGCTCGAACTCTTTTTAGTCTTGAAAGATTCTCTGAACTATAGGCTACTCAATGGTGGCAGCCAAATATGTCCGCTATCCTTACATGGAAGCATATGTACGCCAAAGTGGATGGTTTTGAGAGAAGCTCTCCAAAACGCCCCAAATCTCTTCTTTCTCGCTTGCTTTGTTTTTACGTCATACTGTGCTTTTGATAGGCTACGCTTAATCTAACACAATTTGATTTGTGCAAAAATGTTGATTTTGAAGAGAATTATAACAATTTCATTCAGAAAATTTGCGAATTGGACAGAACTTTTGGAACATCCTAATATTAGACATGCTCGAAATTTCTCGAACACTGCATTTCGACATGGTTTTTGTTTCGATGTAGGCACTGATTGGGCATGCTGCATACCGTTGCATATATTGGGTTGTTTCAAAAGTTCTACCCGTTTTTGATAGCTTTTTTTGAACTGCCGATTTTGGAGGAAGAAACCATTTTTCATAAACAATGCTTATATCATTCGAAAGCTCTTTTCTTCTAGTCTTCAAGGTATATTTCCGTTTTCGTAGATCTTTGTTCTCTGTGTGGTTGCGTACTTTGAAAAAACAGTGAAACGAAGGTGAAAATGTTTGTCTTTGCTCTATCGCCGTGAAATCTACAGTCAAAAGAAAAAATTTCTTTTAAAACATACATAATGTTTGCTGGAGATTTGTGCTATGAAACGCTCATCGAGATATGATTTCAGAAAAATTTTGAACCCGTAAATCTTTAGCTCAAACATAACCCGTCTTTATGGTCCCTTCAAGTCGCATAAAAATCATAAACATATTGCAATCACGAAACTTTTACTCTATATAGTAAGATTAGGGCTGGAACAACTGCTACTAGAAGAACGAAGAGAATTTCTGGTTTGTCAACGGCGAACAAGATCAAGAATATCAAAAAATTGCATTTTTGCCGCCTCAGAAAGAGCAAAATAGGTGGCTTTTGGATTTTTCAACACAAAATTCTTATGAACGAGTTTGATGAAATCCAAAGTTAGCGGTACTGCTCAGTCGACTCTCTGTACTCTGTGAGCAGTGCTTGTGAAACTCAGCTATATTCCAAATCAAGTTATGCTTTTACAAAGTGAAGGTTTCTACAAAGAGATGTTCCTCGATTTTCGCCTATAAAATCTTCTTCACTGTCACTACAAAAATCTTGAAAAGTGCGCAGAATAGCCAAAAATTTGCAGATTCTAACACAGTTTATAGCAATCGCAAAGATTATTTCTGAGAAGAGTTACGTGAAACAAAGTTAAAGTCCGAAAACGGGTAGAACTTTTGAAACAACCCAATAGAAAGCAACCTCTACAAAATTATGGTAAGCATAAGCTTTTTAATGTTTTCTACGAAAATTCAGGCAAAACCAAACCTAGGGTTTTGACTTATACCCGGGTTTTTAACTTCTATAAGCGTTAGAAACCACTAAATGCTCCAATTTACAGTATACACATATTTACATACTTACATGCACGGTTGGTATGGAATCTGAGCTCAAACGACAAGAAAAATGAGGAAATTGAAAAGTGGCAGACTCTGCTCCCATTGGTCCTAAAATCTCCTATTTGGTTGGATCTCAGCTACAGGCAAGAATTAGTACAGCTGCAAATTCCTGAAAATGTCCGAGAACTTTCGAGCCAACCCTAATCAGGGCCCGGCACGAGGTGGGCAAACGGGGTTTTCCAAAACGAATTCCCCTTTGATCCCAATAAATTTTACGAATACCCCCTTGAGCCCAAAAATGACGTTTCGTGCTTGTACGACGAGATTACCGGCCACACTTCGCCTAGAAGCGCTCAAAAGCGCCTAAATTGCTCAAATTCCCCAAATTACTCCTCAGCTGTATCAAAATAAAAAACAGGGAGAAAAATAAGCAAGAAAAATGATTACGGAATGAGAAAATATCAAAGAAACGCAGTCGTAGGAATGAGAGACGCCGTTCCTGCGCGTATTGATTGACTGGGGCGCGCTTTCTATCTTAGAAAGCTAGGCTGCTGATGCGATTTTGCGCTCTAACAAGGACAAGAGGAGGAGTTTCGGAACCAAAATTTCACCATGTAGTAAACTTTAGGTGTACAACAGATTTATGTAAAAAATTTGAAAAAATTATGTGAATTGAGAGTTTTGCCGACCTCAGGTGGGAATTAGGTCGGCAAATGCCGACCTA